GCTGATTATCGGGGTCTCCTGTCCTGCAGAAGAAATCACCTGACACTGGAGAGCATCTCTGAGGCGCTTTTATTTCAACCTCCCATTAAAACTGTTGAAACCATTTTTTCCGTTGCCCCTAAGCCCCTGGCTTATATATCAATCCTATCCAATCAGCTTAAAGATCACCAAGGCATGCCAATTAGGGCACTGATCGTGCGCTGTACACGCCCGAGGCATGCAGTAAAGGGCCAATCACAGGGCACTTCCTGAAACCTGTTTACTCCAAGGCTCCAAGAGGAAGTAGGGTCCAGGTATCATCTTAGGGCAGGACATTGTCAGCGCCCCCAATAGCTAATTGCTGGAACCTGCTGGCCATTAGGTCTGAGGGCCACTCAAGCCTATTTTGAGTGAGACCCGTAGAATGCCAAAGTCTGTACTGTTTTCCCTATGGGACCAGCTGGAAGTGAGTTTGCTCCCAGGTTAGTGCAGGCGCAGCTCACTGTTGTCCCATAGCATTTGCCACATTGTAGAAAATGGTGCCTTATTTGGCACTGGCAGAATTCAGAATCTGCTGGCCTTTAGTTCTGAGGGCTACCTGAACCCATTTTGGGTGAAATCTGTAGGATGCCATGTTAATGCAATGTACTTTGCTAGAAATGAATTTGGTCTCAGCTTAGTGCATGCACAGTCCCATGCCACATGCTTTGGTTCACTACTCAAAATGGTGCCTGATGTGACATTGGTGGGAGCTGTGAAATCCAATCTGTTCCTACACATCCTTTTTGGGATCTGCTTGTCTCTACACTCTTGGTTGAAACAAACATATCAGCGAGATGGGCAGTTATTTGCTTGGGTTCACCTGTTGAGCTCCCAGTGGACTTCCATTCCCACCTGGATGCTGCTGGAGGTCTGGGCAGCCATGATGCTCAGATCACCATTCACTGACTGCCACTAGCAATTCTGGTCACTGCAACACCATATCATGGTCTCTGTTGCTTTTACGTGTGTGTCAGCTTCTTAATCCCCTCTGCCATCAGCCTGTCCTCTCCTATTTCCTGGAATGTGCCCTCTTTACTTCACCCTGGCTAATGATTATCTCCCTGATTAAAAGTTTCCCTACCCTATTGATTCTCACAAGTGACAGCTTTATCTGCTGCACCACAAAACTAGCCCCCAACCAATGGTTCTGAGGGATGCAGGCTCCCTCAGCAACAATGCCATATCCTAGTGTTTAAAATGTGAATTATTTGGTTGGATAGCCTAGTGGCTAAAGTCCTCACCTTGCATGTACCAGACCCCCTTTTTGTACCGTTTCATGTCCTGGCTGCCCTACTTCCAATTCAACTCCTTGCCTATGGCCTGGGAAAGCAGTAGAGGATGTCCCTAAACCCTGGCAACCTGCACCCATGTTGGAAGTCAGAGAGAAGCTCTAGGCTCCTGGATTTGGATTGGTTCTATTCTGGCTGTTGATGCTACTTGGGGAGTGAACCAGTGGACAGAAGATCTCTCTCTGTCTCCCCTCTCTGTAAACCTGGCATTCCAATAAATAAAAAAATCAATTCTTTAAAAATGCATAAATAAATAAAACTAAAATGTGAATTATTGCGGTGGGTACCCTGACCTACACCATGTGAACAGGGCTTGTGGGATGGGGTAGTGGAAAATGGCATGCTTTAAAAATTAACACAAGGAAACAGAGACAAAAGATTATTAAAACAGATATAGAGAGGTTTAATTTCTTCCAAAGAGAAAGGAATGATGCCAGGTCTCTGTATCAACTTTTTATTGAATGACTTGGGGGTCAAATTACAAGAATTCATGTGGCACAAACTATGAGTGCCGCACCCCATATTAATCTTCATCACTTAATTATTGTTGAGTATAATACAGTTGAACAAAGTACAAATGTCAGCACAAGGCTATCTTAAGGAAATTCTTAAAGCACAAGTTTCTGCTGGCTTGGACTGTTGTCCAATTGTAGATAATTGCACGCAAGCTCTGACTTTGGTCTCTGGTATCAGAAATCTGTGAACTCAAGATTCCAGACACAGTCCTCCCTGCTCTTCTTTTTTTTTTAATAATTTTTTTTTTTATTATATGACGCAGTTTTATATGTGCTGGGATTCCCACCACCCCTCCCAAAACCCTCCCCCCCATGGTAGATTCCTCCACCGTGTTGCGTGACTCAGTTCAAGTTCAGTTGAGATTCCTTCATTGCTAGCATATACCAAGCATTGTGATCCTCATGTTATTGCCCAGATAAGTTCAACGGCTTTTTGGAGAGACCTTCTCTGGTCTGAAGGTAGAGCCAACAGAGTAAACCCAATCAATCAAAAGCTCCTGCTCTTCTAATCAAGTCAAGCTGCTTGCAACTGCCTGCAGCAGTGAGTCTATGGGACAGTGGTGAAGTCACTTCTGGTGATGCCTGCATCTGTATGGGATACCCTACTTGGAGTTCCAGCGTGTCCACTTCTAATCCACCAATCTGTACATGTGCACACCTGGAAGCAACAGGTGATGCTCAAGTACTTTGAATCCTATCATCCACGAGGGAGACCTGTGCTGAGTTCTTGGTTGCTGGATCCAGCCTGGCTCAGACATGACTGTTGTGAGCATTTGAGGGGTAAAACATAGGATAGAGGCTCTTTCTGCTCTCTCTCGCCTCCTCCTCTCCTTTTGTCTTTCAAATAAAAAACTAAAATATGTTACATTTTAGAAGGTGAATGATCAGGTCTTTATCTTGGTTCTGAGGCTCAGCCAATTTGAGGTTTCTTTTTTTTTTTTTTAAAGATTTATTTTATTTTTATTGGAAAGGCAGATATACAGGGAGGAGAGACAGAGAGGAAGCTCTTCCATCCGATGATTCACTCCCCAAGTGAGCGCAACGGCTGATGCTATGCCGATCCGATCCGAAGCCAGGAGCCTCTTCTGGGTCTCCCACGCGGGTGCAGGGTCCCAAAGCTTTGGGCCGTCCTCGACTGCTTTCCTGGGCCACAGGCAGGGAGCTGGATGGGAAGCGGGGCTGCCTGGATTAGAACCGGCACCCATATGGGATCCCGGGCATGCAAGGAGAGGAACTACACACCACTGTGCCACCGCACCAGGCCCCAAACTGAGGTTTAACAAGGCTTTCAGGCCATCTGTTTTTTGGTTTCCCTGAGGATGGGTGGAGATAATTTCTCACAGAAGAGACTCAAAGGAAGTCAGGGTCATAGACAGGAAGATGTCTGTAGATAGGCAGACCCAGGGTAACAGAGTGGTGGGGAGGAAGGCACCCTCCTAAACCATTCAAATTTCCATTTTTTATATAACCATGCCAATTAAAGGAGACCTGAATAAAAGTTAAATTCTGTCTCCAGGAACCAGCAGTTTAAGGTGAATATAGCTGAAAAAAACATGATACAGATGTTAAGATGGTTTAATTGAGCCTTAACACAATCAGACAGGGTTAGAAGTAGAAGATTTGCATAAACCTTTGCCTTCTCACAGTTGCTATCACTGAGATAGTCATGTAATTTATCATCCCTATGGAACACTTTTGAGAAAGGAAGGAGTTAATGTTGATAATTACACAGAAGGGAAAGCCAGGGAATGTATGTCCAATTTGTCTATAATCACAAAATCACTCATTAATGTTTGACCTAAAGTAAACGTCAAATAAAAATGATCAGTGTGTTTCTTGGTGGGGACACTGGCAGATGCTGGAGAAGGTGGAAATGGACTCAAATAGATGGGGAGGAAAACTTTTCCCTTGAAACAGTGGGAAAGCAAAAGTGTTGAGACACAAATGTGTTGAGCTCGAGAAAAGGATGAAAGGGACAAAGCTTTATTATTATTATTATTACTATTCAGGACAAAATCCACAGAGGAGAGCAGTTCAGGAATTAGAATCACTGTGAAGCAGGAAGAAACAGAATCCTCATAACACACACAGAAGGAATTGTAGACATATGGGGGAAGTTACACAGAGACTGCAGCTGGTGTGTGTCAGGAAGAGTTCTGTAGGATCCAGAATACTGTGGACAAACGGAATGATCTTCAGAAAAGAATGTTCCTGGGGTCAGTGTGGCAGAGAACAAGTTAAGCCTCTGCCAGCAGCACTAGCATCCCATATAGACACCAGTTTGTGTCCTGGGGTGCTATACTTCCTGATCCAGCTCCTTGCTAATGTACCTCTAAGGGTGATAGAGGACGGCCTGAGTGACAGTGCCTGTGCACCTATGTGAGAGACGCAGAGGAAGCTCCTGGCTTGTGGCTTTGGACTGGGTCAGTGCTGTCCATTGTGGTCATGTGGACAGTGAACCAGCACATGGATCACCCTTTCTCTGAGTAACTGATTAAAATATAAATCAAATAAATCTTAAAACAAAATAAAACAAAAACAGAAAGGAAGTATTTTGTGTCTTGCACTTGACTAGGAATCCCTCAAGAGAGAGATGATATGACATGGTGATTGTATCTTCCATATTTTCACAAGATTCTTCAATGTGAAGAGCAATATTACCTGCAATAGATATAATTTCTTTCTTCTTTCTGACATATTCTCACCCTTGCTGTATGTTTCTCTCTGGGTTAACTTCACCTGTGGAAGATGCCCAAAACCTTGTCATCCAAGCATTCCAACCCCTTACTAATGCAGCTTCGAAATTTTCTGTGATTGGACTTTAGCCCTGGCCCTTCTGATCCAGTCACCTGCTTTACACACAACCATTCCAAAGTTCAAGACCACTTCACCTCTTTATAAGCAGCAAGTATACTTTATCAGTAGCCATTTGTTCCCAGGAAGTTACGAGAGAGGATTGTCCTGATTGTCTTCTCCAGAATGCTCACTGGATTGAAAACCTCCTTTTTTTGGATCAGTTTTTTCTCCCTCTTCTTTTCCTCTCACCTTGCTCCCATGGTTGACTGACAGACTCTTTGACTTTCTGCCTGCTCTCTTTGCTTCTCTTTTCTGGCAGCTGTGTCCACTGCCATCTTTCAGGATTCTTGCAGATGTGGGTCAGCCTGGATGCTCTGCCATGGCCAACCAAAATTTTTCCACTGACCTGCAGCAGGAAGTGACCTGTCCCATTTGCCTGGACATTCTACAGGACCCTGTCACCATTGGTTGTGGGCACAACTTCTGCCATGTTTGCATCACTAAGCATATGGACGCTTCCAGGGAGTTCTTCAAATGTCCCCTCTGCAACAGTTCCATGAAGAATGACGCATATGCTCCCAACTGGCAATTGGAGAATCTGGCAAAGAAAATCGAATCTCTGGATCCCTCTGAGATGCAGCCGAGAGAGGAGCAGCAAAGATGTCCAACACATGGAAAGGTGATACAGTACTACTGTAAGGCAGATGGGGAACTCCTCTGTGTGGTGTGTCTTGATTCCAAGGAGCACAAATTCCATAAAACCAGCACAGTAGAAGAAGCTGCCCAGCATCATCAGGTAAGCACTGGGGCTCCACTTTATTGATGGGAATTCATTGGGGATCTGCAAGCTGTTGCTTCCTTCCTATGGGATTGCTCTCTGTGGCTCCTGCAGGTTTCACTTAACCAGGTCTACTAAGCTCAAGGTTCTAGTCTAGAGAACTTTTGTACATGACAATCAGGGAATATTGAAGAATGGAAAAAAAAGATTCTTAAAATTTGTTTCCATTGAGGGCCCGGTGTGGTGGCCTACCGGTTAAAGTCCTTGCCTTGAACGTGCCGGGATCCCATATGGATGCTCGTTCTAATCCCGGCAACTCTACTTCTCATCCAGCTCCCTGCTTGTGGCCTGGGAAAGCAGTTGAGGATGGCCCAAAGCCTTGGGACCCTGCACCCGCGTGAGATACCCCAAAGTGGATCCAGGCTTCTGGTTTCAGATTGGCATATCACCGGCCGTTGCGGTCACTTGGGGAATGAATCATCAGATGGAAGATCTTTCTCTCTGTCTCTGCTCCTCTCTGTATATCTGACTTTGTAATAATAAAAAAAATGATTTTTATTGGAAAGGGATGTTTACAGAGAGAAGGAAAGACAGAGAGGCAAAGATCTTCCATCCACTGGTTTATTTCTGAAATGGCTACACTGGCCCTAAATGAGCCAAACTAAAGTCAGGGGCCAAGAGCTTCCCCTGGGTCTCCCATGCAGGTGCCAAATTTTCTTTGGGCTAACTTCTGGTGCTTTCCCATCCATAAGCATAGAACTTGATAGGAAATGAAGTAGCCACGACGCAAAATGGCACCCATATGGGAACTTGGTGCTTGCCAATGGAGGATTGGATAACTAAGCCGTCATGTCAGACCCCAATAGATTTTAAAAGAAAAAGAAGAAGAAGAGGTGTTATTTTAATTTGAAAGGCATATTTACAGAGAGAAAAGGGAAAGATCTCCCATCCACTGGTTCACTCCCTAAATGGTTGCAATTGCTAGAGCAGTGCTGATTCTAACTCAGCGACCAGGAAACAAAAGCTTCTTCCTCTTCTCCCACATGGATGCAGGGTTCCAAGCTCTCGGGCTGTCGTCTTCTACTCTCCCAGGCCATAAGCAGACTATTAGATTGGAAGTAGAGCAATAGGGATGTGAATCAGCATCCATATGGGATATTGGCACTTGAAAGTAGAGTATTAAGCTGTTGTGCTATGCACTGGCCCCAAGACACAGGAATTTGATTTAGAAGATGGGGACTCCACATTGGATTCTCTAAAATGTCATCATATCAGCTGTAATATGGCAACAAAGGGCAATCTTCTTCTTTTCCAATTCCTCCCAACCGCTACAGTGGACACAGGAGAAAAAAAATTAAAAAAAAAAAAAAGTGAAATATTTGTTCCACACCCCTTATTCCATACCTTGACTCTCTCCACCCTAGTTGGAGATGCACATAGGCATGTATCCTCTCAACTATGTAAGTAATATTAAAAATAAAATGAAAATTATAAAATTTAAAAAGTTATGGGGTTAAGTCCAGACTGAGTTGAATGTGTGACTTTTTTCATTGTTTTATTATTTTGTGATATAGTACCAACAGTCCCCGACTTCTTCCACCACCACTACAGATTTTCTTTATATTATTACTACAGTATAGTTCTTCATAAAAAGTCATAAGTCCAACATTCTACTGATTAAGTGTATCCTGATATTGCGGGCATGGATAATGGCAGAGAGTCCAACATGCTATTGTCAAGACATATCTAACAGTTTCATTGAGTGTCCATCTTTGATCTGGAAGTAGAGATGCATACTGCATTGTATCCTCACATCTGGATATGATAGTCTCTATTACACAGTTGCTTTAAATCCTCTAAATGAAAAGCCACAAAACAAAATCAACAACAGGAAAAAAAAAATAGAAATTTACAATGCCACGAAATTAAACCACATACTACTGATTGACTATGTGTTGGTGAAGAAATGAAAAAGAAAAGCAAGAATCTTCTTGAAGAAAATGATGCTACTGAATGACCTATGAGTCAGTGAAATATTTAATATGAGAAAAAACTATTTTGAAGAAATGAAAATACAAACAAAACATCAAAATTCATGAGACATGGTTTCTGCTGGTCTTTGTTGGTGAGATGCATCCCCTGTAGGCAATAGGCAGGTGGGTTTTGTTTTTGATCCAATCTGTTAATCTGTGATGTTTGCTTGATGGATTTAAGCCATTTACATTCAGGGTTAATATGTATAGGTGATGATTTTGTCTTGTCATTTTAGTAATGGGCTGTTGTTTGATTTAGTCTTCTGTTGTTATATTAGTGGGATGCTTATCGGATTTGCCTTTGGCTTTGATAGGTGCTACTGTATTTCTTTAGGAATCATTTGTAGGGCAGATTTGGAAGAGGCATATTGTCTGAGGTTTTCATTGCTGTGGATGAACTTCATTTCATTTTCAAAGACAAAGGAAAGCTTTGGTGGGTATGTTATTCTGGGCTGATTTTTCTTTTTTTTCTTTTTTCTTGCTTTTCGAATCTGGAATATGTCACTCCATTCTCTTTTGGCCTGTAGAGTTTCCTGTGAGAGGTCAGCTGTGAGTTTGTTTGCCATCCCTTTAATGTCAACTGATATTTTTTTTCATGTGCATATTCAGGGATCTTTTCCTTATGTTCAATTGAAGGGAGCTTAATGATCATATGTTGTGGTTAAGATTGCTTTTGGTCAAGCCTATAGGGAGTTCTATGCCCCTCCTGGGTGGTGTTTCTCAATTCTTTCTTCATATTAGGAAAGTTGTCATTTATTATTTCGTTGAATGCATGTTTAAACCCAGCTTTTCTTTTTGCACATTCTGGAACTCCCACAAGTCTTACATTTGGCCACTTAGTAGGGTCTCTTAATTCTTTAAAACCTTTTTAGTTTGACCCAGCTCCACTTTCAGCTTGTTGATTGATTCACCATTGCAGTAAAAAATATCTTCTGGTCCTGACGGCATGGCCTAGTGGCTAAAGTTCTTGACTTGAACATGCTGGGATCCCATATGGGCGCCGATTCTAATCCTGGCAGCTCCATTTCCCATCCAGCTCCTGCTTGTGGCCTGGGAAAGCAGTTGAGGATGGCCCAAAGCCTTGGGATCCTGCACCCATGTGGGAGACCTGGAGGAGGTTCCTGGCTCCTGGCTCCTGGCTCCTGGCTCCTGGCTCTGGATCAACACAGCACCGGCTGTTGCGCTCACTTAGGGAGTGAATCATCGGACAGAAGATATTTCTCTCTATCTCTCCTCCTTTCTGTATATCTGACTTTGTAATAAAAATAAATAAATCTTTTTTTTTTTTAAAGAAATATCTTCTAATTCTAAGATTCTTCTGCCTCATTCATTCTATTGTTGACACTTTCCACTGAGTTTTTAATTTGCTCAGTTGCATCCCTCATTTCCAACAGTTCGGCTTCATTTTGTTTCAGTGTTGCTATTCCCTGTGTGACATATTCCTTAAATCCCTTGAACTCCTGTACTTGCTTTTCATTGTTTGTAATGATTTTTCTGAATTCTGTATTCCCCACTTTCTTGATGTATTTCTCAGGTAACTCTGAGGTTGGCAAAGTGGTTTTGCTTCTTTGTTCAACAGTCTTCACTGAAATTCATGGTGCCTCTGTCTTTTCGTTGCTGTTGGTTATTGCATTTGTGGTTAGCAGATTTTTCTCCTTAGGGCAGGTTTTTAAGCTCTGTCACCCACAGGTGAACAGTTCAATTTTAGTGTGGTTGATACCCAGTTATTTGTTTGTAGTCACTTGTGCCACTCCCTCCAATGAGTTTCAGGCCTGGGCCCTTGTACTAGGCTTCCACCGTGGTCTCCATAGCCCCAGTTCCTGTCTCACCAGTCCCCATCTCCTGTGATCTCATGTTGGGTTGCACTATTGTCTGTACAGCTTTTCTCCACTTCTGGTTTGAGCAGTTCCCAGGATTAGGGGACACCAGATGTCCTAAATAATTAGGTTGTTGGTAGTACTTATCTTGCTGGAATCTGTTGGCCATTATGTTTGAGGGCTACTCAGACCTGTTTTGAGTAAGACCCGTAGATTGTCAAAGTCTATACTGCTTTCCCTGTTGGACCAGTGCAATGCACTGAGCTGGAAATGAGTTTGCTCATTGTTGTCCCTCCAGTCCCATAGCCTTTTCCATGCTCTATGTGGCACTGGTAGAGTTTGGGATCTGCTGGCTGTTAGGTCTTGGGGCTACACAGACCCATTTTGGGTGAAATCTCTAACATGTCTTGTCATGACTCTTTTTCCTATGGGACAGTGCAATGCACTGGCAAAAAATGAGTTGGTCTCATTGCATGCAATTTTCTGGTGTCATTTGGTCCCACATCCTTTGCCTCACTATGCAAAATGGTACTTGGTGTGATACTGCTAGGAATCTGGGCTGTAAAATCCTCTGTTTTTGCACTATCTCCTTGGTTTCTGCTGTTCTCTCTGCTCGTGGTTGTATCAAACAAATCAGTAAGATGGGAAATTCTTTTCCTTAGTGCATCTCTTGAGCCCCTAGTGAATCTCGTTCCCATCTGGCTCATTGTTGAGCTCATTGTAGATCTTGGACTGCCGCTTGCTGTTTGCACTGTGCTGTCTCATCACTGCAACACAACTCCATTTTCTCTGATGCTACCCTGTGTCTGTCAGTTTCCAGGTGCCTCTCTGTTTCCTGTCAGCCTGTTCTCTCCTGTTTCCTGAAATTTTCCTTCTCTGCTTAACCCTGGCTAATGATTCTGTCTGGTTAAAGGTGTCTTTATTATATTCAACCATCTTGATTCCTGATTGTGTGACTTTCAAGGAAACCCTAGAATTTATGAGCCTGATTGTGCCAGCTTTCAAATCGAACTTACATCTCAAAAAAAAAAAAAATAAATAAAAGCAAGCAAGCAATAAAGAAAGGGTATATTTACTTGAAAAACAAAATTAGAAAGAGAGAGAGAGAGTGAGAGAAAGAGGTCTTCCGTGTTGATTCTCCAAATTGTTGGGATGGCTGGACCTGAGCCAGTTCCTACTGGGAGCCAGGAGCTTCTTCTCGGTCTATTACTTGGGCATAGGGACCCAAAGCTTTGGCCATGCTTCACCAGTTTCTGAGACCATTAGCAGCAGACTCCAAACATACCTCTGAAAACTGTTGGTAAAAGAGGTGAGGGCAGGTTTGTGGGAGTTCTTTGGCAGTCTTGAAGCACCATCCAAACATTACTCATAAAGAATCATAGTAACCCTCTTCTCTTTTAGGTCATGTAGGTTCTAATTTCTCCCTTTTTCCCAGCTTGAGGAAGAAGTATGAATTAACGCTTACTTCCAGAACTCCCTGAAGCATTTCATATGCTTTCTGGAGAGACTGGGAGGTTTTTACGCAGTCAAGAGCAATGCAAGTAGAGCCTTGCTTGAAGGTCCCTCTCCCACAGGAGCAGATTTGGAGGCATTTGGAAGTCTTGGAGCAAAAGGAAAAGGAACTGTTGCATTCGAAGATTCAAGGTGAAGACAAGATCACCAACTTCATGGTAAGGAAAAACTTCACCCTGTGTTGATTTGGTTTTGGTGTATCAAAGGAAACAAATTTACATGAAAGCAGATTAAAACTAAATAACTTTTTGGAAAGATGAGTTTTAGGCAAATTTTTGAAAGCAAAACTGATGACTTGATGATAGTACAGTGTGGCACATAGCATAAAGGAAGTGCTTTTGTTATAAAAATAATAAAGACTTGAGAGGAAGAGTGACAGTGAGAGGTGAGATTTTCCACTCACTGGTTCGCTTTCCAATAGTCTCAATGACCAGGAGGTGGTCCAGGCAGAAGCCAGCAGTTTTGAGGTTCATCCTGGTCTCTAATGCAGGTGGCAGGAGCCTAGTGTTTGGGTTCTTTTCTGTTCTCTTCCCAGATGCATTAGCAGGAACTGGACCAGAATCATAGCAGCCTGTACTTGAATTGGCACTCAAACAATGGATTAATGGGCTGCAACACAACAATGGCATGGGAAGTGCTTTTAAATGTGTGTTCTTAGGGCATGCATTGTGATACACTGGATTAATGTGTCTCCCTCAACACCAGCATGCCATATAAGTACTGATTTGAAGTCCACCTGCTCTGTTATAGTCCAGGTCCCTGCCTATGCACCTCGGAAATCAGCAGTAGAAGTTGGCCCAAGTGCTTGTGCCCCTGTATTGATGTGGGAGATTTAGATGCAGTTCTGCCTGCTGGTTTCTGCCTGGCTATGTTATGAGTGTGAGAGATCACACTGGAACCAGATGTAGGATGTTTAGAAGGAGTCTTCATTGCCCAAGCCTGGGGACAGCAGCTCCCACTACACCCCAGAAACTACTGCACCCCATGACAGAAGCCAGGGGTTTTTAAGCTCTCACTCTCCAATTAGTTTGAAAGGTACACAGTACAATGTTTTAGTAAAAAGCAGGAAGGGAAGGTCTGGAGACACTCAGTACTTCCCACAAAGGATGTAATTAACATTTCAGTGCCGTTCAGCCCCACCTTTAGGAAGTCTTTGTGAATACAGAATTATCTTCACTGACTCCACCAAACCGTGAACAGAGGGTGGGGGGCATAGCCACATTCCATTTACCCAGTGTCAAGCGGTGCTGGCCATCACAGGCTGCACCCCGTAACAGCTATTTGGGCACTGGGTAGTGAGCCAACAAACAGAAGATTTTTCTCTCTCTCCCATTCAAAAAAATATTTTTAAGGAAAAAAGTTTGTTCTCCTCACCCTTCTCAAACCTGTACCTTGTTCTAGCTTGCGAGTCAGTATAATCAAATACAAAAATGAAAGTGAAATAGAATCGGTGGAAGGACGGTTGAGGCCATCTCTTCTCTCTGTGTCCCTGTACCTTATCCCAGGACCTGGTGGAGTCTGAGGAGCAACGAATACACACAGAATTTAAGCACCACCAGGAGATACTGGAGGTTGAGAAGAACTTGTCCTTATCCTACATCAAGTGGCTGGAGAAAGAGGGTAACAGGGAGTGTAAATGCTATATCATTGCCACGAGGGCCCAGCTCAGCTTGCTCAAGGATCTCAAGGATTTCCTGAAGGCCAAGCAGCAGATGCAGCCTGTAGAGTTGCTACAGGTAAGTCCAACAGAGCAGAATTACTGCAAGGCAAAGTCCAGCACTGGTATCTGATCAGCACACCCGTACCTGGCAGAATCTCTGAGACTGCCCCAACCACCCGGCCTCTAGGGCAGCACCATCCAGCAGAAAGAGTCAAAATGGTAACATGTTGCTCGGAAGGACTGTGTGAACCACATGTGTTATTTAGAATATGTAAACCATATATGTAAATTACAAATATAATGTGAATTACTGCCAGTATAATTTTGAAATGTAACATGAGACACATGTGTAAATTAGAAATATATTGCAAGCCACATATGAAGAGCTTTAGCATGTTAAAAAGCAGTTGTTTGGTACAGTGGTTAATATGCCACTTGGGGCACCCATCTTCCCTATGGCTGTACCTTTACTTCCCACCCAAATTCCTGCTAATGTGGGCCCTGTGAGGAAGCAGGTGATGGGGCAAGTCCTGGGATCCAAGCAACTCATGTGGTAGACCTGGACTGTGTTCCAGGCTTTTGACTGCTACCTGGATCAGCCCTGGATATGTGAGTATTTAGGGAGTAAACCAGCAGGTGGAGCATATCTTTTTCTATTTCTGACTCTCGGACTTTCAGATAGATGAAAATTATATTTTAAAATGTCGTGGGACTAGTGATGTAGTCTGGTGAGTTAAGATGCTGCCAGTATTACTTGCGTCTCATATGAGTGCCACCTGCTTTAATTCTAATGCAGTTTCTTGCTAATGTGCCTGAGAAAGCAGCAGAGGATGGACCAAAGCCTTGAGGCCTGCACCCATGTGAGAGATGCAGAAGAGGCTGCTGGGCTCAGCTCCAACTCTAGTGGTCACTTGGGGAGTGAGCCAGCAAATGGAAGATCCTATCTTTCTGTTTCTCCTTCTCTCTGTGAATCTGCCTTTCCAATAAAAATAAGTAATTCTTATTTTTTTAAATCCATGTGGTAGAGAAATTATAAATGAAGAAAGTATAAATGGACTTCAAGACATTTAACAGAAAATAAAATGTTTTAAAAGTATTTATTTGTTTACATGAAAGGCAGTTACAGAGAGAGAGATATGCTATTACCGATTCATTCCCCAAATGGTCACAATGGATTGATCAGTGCCAGAGAAAAGCCAGGAACTAATGGGTGTTTCAAACCATTGTGCTGTTTGGATTGTCCATCACTTTCTTTCAAGAAAGTTCATGCAAACTCACTCCAACCTTGCTCCTGTCTGAAGGAGTAGGACTCATTTGCTAAGGTAAGTATCAGACAAAGTTCATCTGCAAAATGTCACTTTTTCTGCTCATCAATGGTTTCTCTTGATGTTTAACCACATCTCTACTTAGTGCCATTTCAGTCCTTTTTGGAGGACTCCTCCTGGTGGTGAGAATAGGAGAGTTTCAGAGATTTTCTCACTCCAACAGCTCTACCCATAACCACTTGCCTCCTTGGCTCCTTGGCTGAGTGCTGAGACCTTTCTGTTTTTCTTTCTTTTCCAGAACATCAAAGGCACCATGCACAGGTAAGATGGCTATCCCAGATACATGCTGCCTTCTGAGTCATTGCTAGGTTCTGTTCCCAACATAGTGTCAGTAATGCTTAACTTTCCCTACTCACCAACACCCACACCATGGGACTTTGTAGTCAGAGGTTTAAGCTACATGGGGAAGGTCTGAGTTCAGCAAATGGGTTGGTTGTGAGAGGCCTGAGCTCTTCTCATATCCCGGGGCCTCCTGCAGGCCCCTGCTCAGCTGGATGCTTCCTGGTCCCCTCTCCCTGCCCCTCTGCTTTTCTTCTCTCCCCTTCACTTCCAAGTCTCCTTGGGCAGCTTCTCACTCCAGCCCCATTCCTATAGTGCTGGCCTCCTGACTCAAGGCTCCTTAACTCTTGATGCCGACTACCATTCCCATTGTGAGTCTACCTCACAGGGCTGGATCCAGAGCACCATTCTCTCTCTTGCCTCCCTACTGAACTATGCCTTGTCCTCCTAGGTGTGAAGCGATGCAATTTCAGTTTCACAGCCTACCCGTGATTCCTTTGGAGTTGGAGACAAAAGTCAGTAAGGCAAAGTCTAGACATGATTCCATCATCAAGAGCCTGTGGAAATTTGGAGGTAAGGAAGAGGCCATGTTATCCTCCCTGGAAGATTCTTATCTGTCAGTGTTCGTTACGACACCATTCCATGGCTATGCCTCCCTCAGGCATTTCTCCCATGTTCTGTTCCGCATGATATTTGTCTATACCCGCAACTCACAAAGAGTATGACAGCCACAAAGAGGACCAGTCCTTCAGCTCCATGTGGCTCTGAAGCCTGTGTCTGTACGGTGGAGGGAGAACCTTGCCTGCAGGAGATTCCAGCATCACAAGCAGCCACAGAACTTGCTGTACCACAATGCCAACCTCTTTTCCTAGTTTTTGATGTAAGCACTGGAAAAAAATGCTTTAGACTTATTTACTGGGCCCAGCAAATGACTCAATTGCTAAATCCTCACTTTGTAACTGCCAGGATCCCATATGGGTGCCAGTTCATGTTATGGCTCCTCCGCTTCCCATACAGCTCCCTATTTATGCCCTGGGAAAGCAGTGGAGGATGACCCAAAGTCTTGGAACCTGCACCCACGTGGGAGACCTGGAAGAAGCTCCTGGTTCTTGGCTTCAGACTGAATCAAGTCAACTCTAGTCTTTATAGCCATCTGATGAATGAACCAGCAAATGCAAGATCTTTCCCTCTGTTTCATCTTCTGTTCATAAATCTGATCAGCCTTCACAATAAAAATATATCCTTTTAAAAATGACTTATTAATTTGAGTTTCAGAGGGAGGAAGAGATTGAGAGACAAAGTGAGATCTTCCATCAACTGGTTTTCCCCCTAGAGGGCCACAATGGTGAGGGTTGGCCAGGTCTGAGTCAGGAGACAGGAACTTCATCTGGTTTTTCCATGTGGGTGGCATGGATCCAGGCAATTGGGCCATCTTCTGCTGCTTTCCAAGGCCTTTTTCAGTGAGCAGGATGAGAAATGGAGCAGCAGAAGTGAATTTGTAATAAAGACGCACGCAAATAGAATGCTGACATTATGGGTATCAACTTCATTTGCAATGTTACAACACTGGACCTATGAGTACAAATGTTAAAATTATATGTGGCATGTTTAAATGTTTATGGAAAATGTGTATGAGGAAGAAAGAGCTACCCATGGTCTTCAAATATGTTGCACTAAATAAATTAATATTTATAAATTACTGCTTAAAAATCACAGAATCAAGAGGGAAAGAGAGAGAGACATCTTGTATCCACTTAATTCACTTTCCAGGTATGTACTACATTCATGACTGAGTCAGGAAAAAAACAGAAGTCAAGAACTCAATCTTAGTGTCCCATATGTGTGGCAGGAAGCTAAACCTTTGCACCATCACCTGGGCCTTCTAGGGTGCTCCTTAGCAGGAAGCTGGAATTGGAACAGAGCTGGGCATCAAGTGTCTTAAGCAGCATGTTAAACATTGCCACCAAAGCTCACCCAAAGGAGTCTTTCAGTTCCATATTTCCATGACTGTTGTAAAAAGATTAATTTACAACCCTCCTTTGAAAGGCAGAATTACAAAGAGAAAAAGAGGTAGAGATAGAACTAAGTTTGCAGCCACTGGTTAAGTCCCCAAAGGGCCACGACAGATGGAGTTGCGCTGATCTGAAGCCAGGAGCTTCTTTCTGGGTCTCCTCTATGGATTCAGGGCCCATTCCTTGAGCCATCTTCTTTTTACTTCCCAAGCCATAAGCAGGAAGATGGACTGGAACCAGAGCATCTGGGACATGAACTGGCACCGATATGGATGCCTCTGCACTGCACACAAAGGATTAGCCTATATGCCAGCCTTATAGTTCTCAAGAATTAAGTCCCCCTAAATGAGATCTCATTTGGATGTCCATTGGACAGTGCTGGGCTGTGTGGCCACTTTAAGGAAGCAGGACAGCAAAGGCTGGGAGTCTCATATGTGCTGAGAATGTGAGAGACAACTCTAGTTCACTCCTTGCAGATGTTCCACATAAGGGCCTTGTGGTGCAGCCTCGGGTTTCTTGCTCAACTTCCCCAGCCTCTCATGCCTTCTATTCTCTAACTGCAGACTATCTCCAGGAAAAAAGGAAAAAATATCATGACAGGATTGTCCAAGACATGAGTACAACCCAAAGGCAGAACAGTAAGTAGGGGTGCAAGGCTGCTTCCTGACACCCTGGGAATCATTGGCTGCCTTCATTTTTTATGCTTGGTGGGCATTGCTTTTGGGGTTATTACCATACAGACTCTGGGTTTCAAGACCAAAGTTAACTTTCCCTCCCATATTCCTAGAGCGCCTGCTTGAGAAAAGTAATCTTAACTTGGACAGAAGCTCACAGCCTGAACCAGGGACCACAGGTAGGATTCCAGTCTTCAAGGGGCTGGAAAAGGGATACAAAATTGATGGGTGTTCCAAGGTGGACACAGTGTTCAGAGGTAGCTGTTGGACATATGTCCTTGCCCTCACCAAAGCTGCTGGGATGAATGACTGTTCTCAGTGCCAACCTGATGTGGAGAGGAAAGGGAAGGAACAGGAAATTGGAAAAAGAGGAAGAGAGAGGAGGCTGGTGGAGGAGCATATGCTGAAGACTCCACAGAACACGATGAGGTATCAAGTACTACAGGTGGTATGGGAAAATGTGAGGTGTGGTATGACTGGGGTGTGCATGCCTCCCTCTGTCCCTGGCCACTTTTTTTTCTCTACTTTTTAAAAATTATTATTATCATTTTATGATACATTTTCATAGGTCTAGGAATTTTCCTTATCCCCTCCCCAAGTTCCCATCCCCCACCCCAGTAAGATCCCCTATATTATTACTAAGGTATAGTTCTTCATAAACAGTCATATGTCCAACATTGTGGGCATGAACAATAGCAGAGTCAGCTTTATATTGTCAAGTTATATTAACAGTTTCATTGGGAGTCCATCTTTAGTCTGAATGTAGAGATGCATACTGCATTGTATCCTCACATCTGGATATGATATCACCATTACACAGCTACTATACATTCCCTTAAATGAAAAGCCACAAAACAAAATTAACAACAGGAAGAAAAACAGAAATTTACAATGCCATGCAGTTAAATAACATGCTATTGAATGACTAAGGTGTTTGTGAAGAAATGAAAAAGAAAAGCAAGAATCTTCTTGAAGTAAATGATGTTATTGTATGATCTATGAGTGAATGAAGAATTTTTTAGCATAGGGTTTGTATTTACATTTTATTATTATTATTAACATTTTATGATACAGTTCCATATTCCCTTATCCCCTCCCCAGTTTTCTCCCCCCCAGTTCCTCTATATCATTAATAACATATAGTTCTTCATAAACAGTCATATGTCCATCATTGCAGGCATGGACAATGGCAGAGAGTCCAGAATCCTATTGTCAAGATATAGTAAACAGTTTCATTGTAAGTCCATCTTTGTCTGGAAGCAGAAATGTATACTACACTGCATCCTCACATCTGGTTGTTAGTCTCCATTACATAACTACTGTACATTCCCTTAAATGAAAAGTCATGATACAAAATCAACAATAGACAGAAAAATAGAAATTTACAATGTCATGAAGTTAAATGACATGTTACTAGATATGATAGTCTCTATTACACAGCTACTATACATTCCCTTAAATGAAGAGCCACAAAACAAACTCAGCATCTGAGAGAAAAAAGAAATTAACAACACCAAGAAGTTAAATAACATGCTATTAAATGAGTAACGTGTAGCTGAAGAAATGAAAATCAAGAACTTTCTTGATAAAATGATGTCACTGCATGATCTATGAGTCATTGAATGATTTAATCAGAAGAAAGTGTTTTGAAGAGATGAAACTAACAGAAAACAACAAAACCCATATGATAGCTTTTGCTGATTTTTGTTGGTGAAGTGTGTCTCCTCCAGACAATAAACAGATGGATTTTGTTTTTAATCCAGTCTACTAACCTATGATGCTTGATTGAGCTTAAGCCATTTACATTCAGTGGTGCTTTGGTGCTTTGGTCCTGTCATTTTTGGAATGGGTTGTTCGTTGGTTTAGTCTTCTTTTGTCATTTTACTGGGATGTTCTTCCTGTTTGCCTTTGGTTTTGGTAGGTGCTATTCCTCTTCTCTGTCAAGAGAACAGCTTGAAGTCTCCTTTGTAGGGCAGGTTTGGAAGAGGAAAATTCTTTTAACTTTTCTTTACCGTGGAAGAATTTTATTTCATTTTCAAAGACAAAAGAAAGCTTTGCGGGGTATGTTATCCTAGGCCAACACTTTTTTTTCTTTTAGAATCTGGAATATGTTACTCCATTCTCTTCTTGCCTGTAGAGTTTCCTGTGAGAGATCTCCTGTGAGCTTAATTGGCATTCCTTTATATGTCACTTGATTTTTTTCACATGCACATTTAAGGATCTTTTCCTTATGTTCAATTGAAGAGAGCTTGGTTACCATATGTCTTGGTGAAGATTGCTTTTGATCAAGCCTGTTGGGAGTTCTGTGCCCCTCCTGGATCTTGTTTCCCAATTCCTTCTCCAGATTAGGGAAATTTTCCTTGATTATTTCATTAAATACATTTGCAAACTCAGGTTCACTATCTGCACCTTCTGCGACTCCCATACTCTTATATTTGGCCTCTTAATAGTGTCTTTTAATTATTGAATACTTTTCTTGGCCTGATCCAGCTCTGCTTCCAGCTTTTTGTTTGCTTCCCCCTGATGACAGGAAATATCTTCCAAATTCTGAGATTCTTTCTTCTGCTTGCTTCATTCTATTTTGGAGACTCTCCACTGTACTTTTAATTTGCTCTACTGTGTTCTTAATTTCTGATATATCAGTCTTGATTTGCTTTACTGCTTCCTTAAATTCTTTGAACTCTTGCATGAGCTTCTCATTTTTTATCAGAATCTTTAAAATGAGTCTTATGGATTCTGTGTCCGCCATTTTCTCGATGTCTTCCTTAGTGAATTCTGAGCTTGGCAAAGGGTTTTGCTCCTTTGCAGGGGAGTTTTTGGTAATATTCATTGTGCCTTTGTCTCTTCTTTTGCGCTTGATCATTGTACTTCTGGTTAGCAGCATCTT